TTTGAACAAGTTGTTTTTTAATTTTAGACAAACTTCGAGTCATTTAGAACAAGTTTAATTTAGTTCAGACATGATTTTAATAATTTGGATAATTTGGTCATTTTGGTGAAGTTTTTTGTCTTTTAGAACAGATTTTAGGTAATTTTGGATGATTTTTTTCTTTAATTTTTGGCAAGCTGAGTCATTTTGAATAAGTTTTGTTCATTTTGGACACATTTTTAATCATTTGGACAAGATTTCTTTCATTTTGGACAAGCTTTAAGTCATTTCTGGCAGGTTCTTGTCTTTTAGAACAGACTTTGGGTCATGCTGGACATGTTTTAGTCCTTCTGGATAAACACTGAGAACCTCTGGACAGTTTTTTGTCTCTTAGAACAGTTTCTGGATCTGTTTTTCATCCTGTCGTATAGGTTCTGACTGCTCTGTGCTCCCTCACCTCCTTCCTCTCCAGCTCCCTCAGCCTCTCCTCCTCCCGCTGCCTCTCCATCTCCCTCTGCCTCTCCAGCCTCCTCTCCTCCTCCAGCCTCCGGCGGTTCTCCTGCTCGCGGGCCTCCCTCTCTCGGCGCTCCACGGCCTCCCTCTCCTCCCGCTCCCTCCTCTCCTTCTCCTTCCTCTGCTCCTCCTCCAGCGCCAGGCGTCTCTTCTCCAGCTCGGCGCTGCCTCGGGCGAAGTTCTCCTTCAGCTTGTCCTCGAAGGACACTGAGAACAGGAGGAACAGGAGGTGAGACTCAGAGGGAGACGGACACCAGAACAGAACCGACCCGGTCTGCAGAGCTCCTCACCGCTGCTCTTGTTCTTCTGGGCAGGTTCGACCTCCACGGTGTCGATCAGACACGGGGTTATGTACGGACCGGTTCCGTTCACCAGCTCGCTGGACTTCATCCCTCCTCTGAAACGAGAAATTATGAATGTTGGTGATTTTTATCAAGTATATCTACATGTCTTCACGCGACCCGGAGCGCTACCTGAGCGACGGAGGAACCAGGTCCTGAGGCAGCGTCAGCGGCAGAGGACGGCCGGTCTTGGCCATGTCCACCAGGTGCATGGCCAGGATGAACTCGTCGGCCCGCAGCTGCCCGTCTTTGTCCACGTCCGCTAACGTCCTGCATGCAAACAGCACGTATGTTAGCGTGTGAGGGCTGATCAAAAAGTTCTGGGACTGGTCCTGGTGCACAAAGCAGCGTGTGCAGCAGAACCAGTACCAGTCAGGAGATCAGAGGACGTGAAGATCTGAGTTAATCAGGTCATTAAGGACACATTTTAGATGAATTCTGAGCAATTTTGGACAATTTTTCTTACATTCTTGACATGTTCTGAGTCCGTTAGGATGATTTTTGAGCAAATTTGTATTAATTTTGTAAAAATCTGACTTATTCAGGTGAAACTATGAATCATTTTGGACAATTTTGTGTAATGTTGGACACATTTTCTGCAACATAGGAAAAGCATTCATTATTTAGACCCATTCTGAGTGATTTTAGACATGCTAGAATCACACGTTCTGATTCCTTTTGGACACTTTTTTGTCCTTTTAAACAAATTTTAAAGTCATTTTGAACAGGTTTTCGTACATTTTCAACAAATTCCGAGTCCTTTAGGACAATGTTTGAGTGAATTTGTATTAATTTTGAAAAAATCTGACCAATTAGGTCAAATTGTGAATAACTAGAGACATTTTTGTGTAATGTTAGACACATTTTCTGCAGTTTAGGAAAAAACATTCATTATTTAGACCCATTCTGGCTGATTTTAGACACGTTTGAATCACACTAAACACATTCTGATTCATTTTAGATACCTTTTTTGTCCTTTTAGACAAATTGAAAAGTCCTTTTAACTGGTTTTATCTTTACTAACATCTTTCTCGGTCAATTTTGGGTAATACTGGACAAGTATTTGTTATTTCTGAACACATTTTGAGTGACTTTGTTCAGGTTTTGGGGTCATTTCAGGTATATTTTTGCACAAACGGTGAGTCACAGACCATGTTTAATCATTTTGGGGACGTTACCATGAATTCATTCCATGGTTTTGACCGTGACGTCCTGAGGAATCTAAAAACAACAACATTTAAACCACTTGAACTGTGGTGCGATGGCTTATAGGTGTTTCTGCTGCATAACCGCACAGTGCTTTTTGTCCACAACAACCCAATTATTGCTCCTCAGATCCGTCTATGTGTGGCTTTCTTTTATTCACCAAAATAAAACTCCAGCTGAAGTGTCTCCGTTTGGAGTTTGGGAGACTCGTAACAGATGGATGTGACGTGTTTCCAGGAGCTCTGGGAGCAGAGCAGCACCAGGAGGCACTCTAACAGGGACGGAGGCCAAATTGCAAAATGCAGTTGTTTGGTTTTTATCGTTGCAGTCGTTGTACTTTCAGAGGATGTCATCGTTTTAGAGCCATATGAGGTGTTTCTAAAGGCCTTTTGGAGACAAGCTGTGAACACAACTAACAAATTATCACCTCATTGTCACATCCGAACACTCTATGTGACAATAATTAGTAAATGAGTTAGCAGCTGTTAGCACGCAGCACGCTGGGAGCATCACTGTCATTAATTAATAGGGTTCTGATGCTTCTGGACTCCTGATTATTCTGATTCGTGGCTTCGTTCGGTTCGTCCTGATGCAGATATTTAGGGTTTTTTTAGCTGCTAAACGCTCGTCTCTGCGCCGGACGTCGGTGTGCTTTGGTCGTCTGCTGCCTCCGTTGACATCAGTGGGAGTAAAAAACCGACACCGTGAAGCCGTGAGCAGCAAATCGACAGACAGACAGAGCTGGAGGATGGATGTGTGAAGGTTCATGACTCCAAGCAACAGCTCTAACTGAAGAAGGGATGTTCTCAGACGAGTGTCGCTTCACTAACAGCCGGGACGTTTATGCTGATTAGTCAGAAGT